TAGAAACATCCCACCCTGCTTTGTGTGACAGATGCTTTAGGGCATTTGGGAATCAGTAAGTGAGTTATTACCAGACATCAAATTTGTTAATATCAAATGCTGAATTTTAAGTCTTCAAACTATGAGAATTAAATTTTGTTGGTAGTAAACTACTTTGATTGGGGTATTTTGTTATAGTAGTCTGAAGGTATGAACACACTATGTAACATCTTACACTCCCTTCCCAAATTTTGTTATATGAATCAAAATTTTCCTTATAGTTGTGTGTATATGTGTATGTACATGTGTGACAGAGAGAGAGAAAGAGAGAGAGAACATAGGGTTGATTCACTTGTCCAGTTCTCACATGGACACCTCATGTAATTGCTCAAGGAAGCACAAGCGAAGAGTTCAGCTGGATTTATCTAGTGAAACACAAATGGTGACTTTCAGCATCTACAGTCCAGGCAGCTTGGTTGATCACATGCAACTCTCTCTGCTCTTAAGCTCTTAAGAGTCTTAAGCATGTTGTATACAGTCTGGACAGCCCTTTAAGAGCTAACTTAGAAGTCCCGTTGTGTTACATCCAGCACAAGCTGGTGGCTGAAGCAGTCACATTCAACTAAGGTCAAAGAGAAGAGGCGCCGTCTTAAGGAAGTGAATCCTTGCGTATTAATCAGCAAGTTTCCCCTCTATGCAGTCCTGAGCAATGACTGTTTGTCTTTCTATATTTGTGCTTGGACCTCCCTTAGTAATTCATATGAGGAGACTCCTGCAGTACCCACCATTTTTTGGAGGGGTTCATTTCACGTCTCATGTTTCTCTGAGGTCTACTCAGGGCGCTTTAGAATCTTCGTCCTTTTAAAATCTGAGCCATAGTCCACCAGGTGTTTACATTGAGCACCGTGCGTGCTTTCCTCAATTAACAGGCACTAGGTTCTTTTCACCTTCAGGCTACTGCAGCATCAGAAAACCTGTGTCCTATGGTGATACTACCTTTCATGTTCTGATGCTGAATTTTCATATTGTTTTCTAAGGTGGTATACCATTAGACATGTCTACCAATGGGAGACTTTGACTCCCATTTCTCCTCTTCATTCAACAGACTTGAGAGGTGTTTTGCTTCTTGTTTTTTGATACAGGGTTTTATGTAACCTCGAGTTTGCTGTGTAGCTTAGACTGGCTTTCATCTGATCGTCCTGCCTCGGTCTTTCATGCATTGGAACAACAAGTTTGTCACCACACCTTCTCAGTTGAAAGAAGAAGGAAGCATTGTGAGGCAGACGGTTACCTGCTGTTTGTCCTCTAGCAGCGTAATTTTATCAGCTTGCTTTGTTTGAGAAGAAAATCCCTGTCTCTGTCCGAAGAATCTTGTTTTCAAGAAAGACATAGAGAAGAAAAAAGGGGAGTGAGAGAGTTAAAGTAAGCCAGAGTGCAGACTTTGGACTCTGGGAAGAGATTATTGATTGATTGGTCGATTGACTGATTGACTTACTGACTTATTTATTTTTGTATTATGTACAGCCTGGTCTTCAGCGAGGTGGTCATAGACATTACTACGGTATTGCTTCCCACTCTGGAAACTCCCTCCATCCACATACCAAAATGAAGCTCAGGTCTGCAGTGTGATACCACTAATCCAATTAGGGCCTTATTACTACACAAGAGCCTTTTTTATCCCTACCCCCACATGCCTGTGATCTCAAGGTTTGTAGAAAAAGAGGGAACTGTTCCTCAAAGTGATTAAGGGATGCCTTCAGTAAACACAGGCCAAAGAAAGCCTCCATTGTTCCCTAGAAGATAGGAATTCATGGGCGGTTTCAATTGGAAAAGAAAATAACCATTGCAGATCACACTTCCCTGAAATTTCAGACACGACACATCTTACTCCAAAATGCGCCAGTACAGAAGCCTTCTAGAGCAGAGAGAGCATCTTTCTTTACATAAACCCTTGTAAACATCCCAGTCCATCTCAATGTTTCTTTTGAAATGTAACTCCTTCCTTCCTTCCTTCCTTCCTTCCTTCCTTCCTTCCTTCCTTCCTTCCTTCCTTCCTTCCTTCCTTTATCTTTAGGGTAAATATGATTTACAGCTCACGACCATTCCTTGGTAGTAGTTACTTCATACTCCAAAGTTCCATTGGTAGACAGTCCCAAGGAACTCACCAGGTTGAGTTCTATAGCTCTAGCAGCTGAGCACTTGATGGAATGTAATCAGCCACATCTTCCAGCCAATTTAGGGCCGATAGTGTGGAGCTAATTTCTTTTGTTTTGGTTAACTTGTTGCCCTAACCCAAGGCTGTCCGAATCTACTGGATTCGGGTTTGGGGAATCTCCTGCTGTTGCAGCCTTGGTGACAGCGCACAGAGACAGGTTACTAATCATAGCAGCCTACATCTGGGAAAGGCCTTTCTGTTTTTCTGTGAGCTGGGGGGCCTACCCCTGCTCTGAGACGACCCCAAGACAAGTTAAGTTATTGTTATATGATGTCACCTTGAAAATCCGAGTTCCCTTGTAGTGAAGTGTGTAAGAGCAACATCATAGTGACCAATGAGGTTAAGCGCAGTGGGAGAGGTAACCAGCTGGAAAATAGTGATGCTAAGCATTCAAGGCTGATTTGAGTTGAGTGAGCGACTTTACAACTTGAGTACCCTTAAGCGCTTCTTTTGACCGAGAGTAGCCCCTAACCTTTGTTACTTTTTCTGCTGATGGTCCCGTGATGCTGTGTGTGTGTGTGTGTGTGTGTGTTTTCTGGCGTTGCCACATCTGACTTGTTCAGATGGTCACAGTCCAGCTTCAGAAGCTACCATTTCAAGCACTAAATCTCAGCCCAGAGCATTAGCAACTTTCTGGAAAAAAAAAAAAGTAAGGAAGCAAAGGGAACTGGAGGAAGTATTATAGTGCTTGAGAACCCTGGAGCCCCAGCACTTCTGCACAGAGTTCTTTTGCCAAAGGACAACACCAAAAATAAGCACAGTATGTCTGAATATAACATTTTGACTGGGGAATGAATTTTGTTACTTGGCCATACAGCTTAGTCTAGAGTAATTGGCAGCAAAAGAAATAATTTGCTGAGCTTGGGTTGAGACAAACAATCAGACTAGATAAGAGGGGTTTGAATGAGAAGATATCAAATATAATGCAGGAGGAATTGCCAGTCCCATAAGGAGCTGGGAGGCGAGGCACACACTACAGTGTGATTCCTTTTGGAATCCACTCCTTCAAACCTAAATGATCCATCCCCAAACCCCACCAGTCCCATGCCTGTGCTTTTCCTGCCTCTGAAGCCTACAGTAAGGACATATCACCTCTTTTGGTAGTTGCATGCACCTTCAAGAGACATCTTGTTCAATTACATAGAGAGCTCTGGGGGTCTCTGTGTGTTTGTGTATGACTCAGGTACTTCCCAGGACATGCCAAGATTCTATAAATATTCTCAGGCTCATGTTAGGTTTTTACCACATCACTCATCAGGGAAGCCCAGTGTTGGAGTGAGTTAAATGCAACAGACATTGCTAATTTTCCCTTTGTGAAGGACTGTGGTCCAGTTGTGGTGGAGGTCGTAGTCAGCTAGAAAGGCTTTCAAGCAATAAAGTTGTTATGATAAAAACAAAACAAAACAAAGCCATGAAACAACAACAAACAGACTACAGCCTTCAAAAGTTCTGGGATGCAAGGACCGAATGTCCCTACCTCCTAAAATGTAATCCTATTTCTCTTCTGCTGTTGAAGTTCAGATCAGTCAATCCTATCTTTCTTAAATTTATTTTTGTTATCTTATATGTCCTATAAATACATACAAATGAAAAAAATATTTTTTCATGAGCTATTTTTGGGGTATGTCCCAGCAATCCATTTAGATCCTGTGATGTACAGATGTCAATGTCATAATTTTGTAAACAGACTTCCTTTTTGAAGGGTCACAGTAAAACATGTAAATATTTCTTAAGAAGGGTTACAGATCAGTGGTATATTTAGAAATATGACCAATGAGTCTACAGTTATATGCAAATAAATGATGAGTGTATTATTCTAACTCATGGTGTTACCCCAAGATTTTCTGGAAGACAGACAGCTGTGGTTTTTCTGTGATGTCTTCAGCAACTTTTGTGCTGTTTCAAATTCCATTGAAAGCACCTAAAGATGACATCTGTTCCTGTGGAATCTGTACGTGTCGTCTGGTTGTTAGCTTTCAAGGCTCCTATTGGAGTTCAGAAAGTGCATCCGACTACTCCGAGGAGGTTCGAACAGCTGACCTTGAGTGAGCATTCATCCTCTTCTCTGCATCAAAATCAAAAAATAAATACAAACAAAACAATGCTAAAACTGCTGTCTCTGAAAATACCTTGTTGTCTTCCCCTCCCTCTCTCCCCCTCCTCCCTTCCTCTCTCCTCCCTCCCTCTGCCTTCTTGGACTTTATGTGAATTCCTTCCTTGGGAGTCCATGCTTTTGTTATAACTTTATTCTTTAATTTCTTGTTCACTTCTCTCCTCTGAGTAAAACTTTGCTTCTTGATATTGTCATTCGGTCCATTAAACATAGTGTTTGACATGAATTATAAGACTCTTAGTGTTTCCACCGTTAAGGGGAAGCAAAAGGACCAAAAATCGAAACAGCAGTTTCAAGTAAGAGGCATACCCTGTTGTGGTGGTCACCTACATACAGGTCAGGTGATCTGGAATCCTTCTCTTGGTGGCTGGATACGAGGACACAATTGTCGCTGGGTCACAATTCCATTTCTTCTGTGTGGGTCTCTGTTTAAAGACGACTGTTACATATTATTATTCTAATCAAGCTTGGTTTCTGAGAAATTCAGCTATTCTTTTCTCCTCTTTACAAAGTGAGGTAGGAAGCTAATAGCTACCCTGATTAGATAGTTGGCCAAATGTGCAGGGGGATTAAGCAAAAGCTAAAGCCCTGTGATCTTCAAAAAGAAAGGTCTAGATGAAAAGAAAGGTGTCCTGGTCACAAACCCTCCCATTGTAATGGGAGGAGGGATTGTATCACAATGGAGAGTCTTAATAGATAGCAAGAATTGCCTCTGGTCTGCAAGCCATGGCCGTTCCCATGGGTACCCTGCCTATCTCAAAGAGGGGAAGAGAACCTTTGGTTCATTGTTTCAATTTAGATTTTATTTTTCTAAGTAGGACACAGCGATTTTAGGAAAGAGTGGAGAATGCTTTATTACTGGCCTCTCTTCAAGATTTACTCCGTCTTCTTATCTTGTGGACACTCCTCAGAACAGCATGCTTGTGGACACAGACCACGTACCTGGGAGATACAAGGAAAGTCAGAGGCTTAGAAAAATGTGATGGCCTCCTTCAGGCCGCTTCACTGGTGAGGTACGGTATCTAGAACTGGACGTTTTGTTGTTTGCTATGTACTCTTTTCTAATATTTTAAAAAATGTATTCTACTTATCTGTCACTGTCTAAAAAAAAGGAGATTTCATTGCTTATTTAGTTATTTGAGAAAAGAATCTTTGAAAACACTTTATTGTGTCCCACATAGTGGTCATCATATGACCATGAAACTCTGGTGATTTTGGAGGTCAGCAATACTCTTCCATAATTTAAATATTAAATATAAAAACAATATCTAAATTGGTCATCTTCTTTGCATGTATGTATTCTTATCTGTAGATATTTGCACTTTTGTATTTAGATTTTTTTTCTTGTTCAGTTAACAACTGTTCTCACTTAGAAACAAAATACTTCAAAAAAAATAAATAAAAGTTGGCAGGCAATGTTCCCTTTAAATCCTCCTTATTCCCGCTATGCTCTCCAATCTTTAGGAAAACTTTTTGATTAACAAGTTAATAATTTTATTTTATGGCTTTTGTTTAGGTGAAAGATGAATATTTTATCTTCAAACCAGAAATCGAATAGAAATGGCAGCCAGTATGCCTTACCAAAAAAGCAATAACAGTAAACTTCAGTTAAAAGAGTGTTGAGCATGAGCTATAGATACTAGTAAATTGTAAACTAATTGAAATATACTATATTTCTACTATTCTTACTTCATCCTTTGTGTCTGCGGCTAGATCCTCTTACTATCTTGTCTCTGATAGCTCTCTAATTAAGATTCACAGACAAGCGCCACTCCCTCCCAGCAGAGATCCTCAGCTACTCCTCTCCTGATTTCCCTATCTGGAATGGTTTGGCCAAAGCTCAGGGGCCAAATGCCTGGGCCATGAGATCATTAGGAAACCTTAGGGAGGAGGGGAGTGGGTTGCTTGAGGGGGAGGTAGAGTTGCAGACCGTGTGCGCAGGATTATGAAAACCCTTGGAATTTAGACTGAATGTTTGACTCCAGCAGACCTTTAACCCGAGGCTGCATCGGAAAAATCCAGTTTGCCCTAAACAAGGCATTAGAAGAATGTGGAGAAGATGTCACGTGAAGGGGGCAACAGAAACCAGCCCGTGGAGCAGAATGAGGAAACTCCTTCAATTCGGGTAGAAGGAAGAACATTTTAAGGGAAACTTAAAAGGCGCAGAACAGAACGGGAAAATCTAATGATAAGAAAGTCATCAAATCAATGATACCCACACTGTATGGATTTACCTGAAGAGCCTTGCAAATTATTAGGGAGTTAAGAGTGAGTTAAAGTCCCAGACTTTCACCGAATGTTAGCCTGGTGTTGTAGATGACATTTGTTATACAGTCCAGATGTGTGCTTATGGATGCCATGGTTAATGTTACTGCGATACAGACATATATATCCAGAAGCAGGACATTAAAAATCTGTATCATTCAGGCAGCAGATACTCTATGTAGCACAGCCCAGGCTGGAAATAACCCACAGGGACCTGTAACACCATAGTACTGAGGTATCTCTGGGTCTTAGCTGCTTCCACCACTTCGTTAACTTGGTGGCCATAGTGTTGATCATGGTGCCTGACCCCCAACTTTGGTTCAGGTTATAAATAAACTAATGGAGGTTCCCACATTTACTGCTTTGCCAACCCCTTTAGCCTTAAAGCTACGATGCAGACTATCAATGTAAATGAGGGAAATATGGAACATTAAGGCAGAAGTCTACCTGTCTGGTAATATGAAGTGACAATTTCAATATCTAAGTTTTGGAAGATTCGATTACGATTTGTCAATCTCTAATATTTTAGCACTGTTCTAAAGAGTACCAATGAAACCATTATATTTCAGAATCCAGCTAATTTCTACTGGAGAGTCCTAGTGGTTGATTATAATATATATTATAATACATTCACTTTTCCAAGTCTTTTGAAGGACAGAATCCAAGGTTAGCTGGTGCAGTAAGTTTGCCTTCGCTCTGGACCTGGCCTGTTTTGGCTCCACACAGTACTTCTCTGGAGACTATAGTGTCTCAAAACCTGTTAAAAATCAGGGTAAGTCCCTAGGCTGCATGTCAACACCTACTGCCCACCAGGACACTGAAAAAAAAAAATTTAAGAATGCTTTCAACTCGCTGCTGCTGCTCTAGTGACCACAGGCAGAGGAGAAAGAGAATGGTTGTGAGCACCGGTGTGTAGGAAGAGGGTTTGCGTTTGGTTTTGCTTTTAAACATTTGAAAAGTAACCCCAGCTTTCTCCAACTGTTGGAGAGCATCGCTTTGATTTTCTTCAGAAAACACAGGGTGCCTGTTTGTTTTTAAGTCATAAACAACCTTTCTCCAAACACACCGTATCATACATACACAAACACAGACAGACAGATACATGCACACACACACACATACACACGCCTTTAAATTCATCCTAAGCTCTCCATAGGTGAAGGTTCAGTGAAAATGAGAAAAACAGAAGCAAAGGCCGACGGGTTAGCAGGAATCCTGCACTGACGGTGAACAGAGCCCAAGCCATTGGAAACACACTTGTGGAGAGAAGGGGAAGAGGGTCGAACAGTGGATGGGGAGACAGACTCAGTTAGGGACATTGGGAGACCATGGCGGGATGGAAACTTCAGCCTAGATCTCCAAGACTGTTCTTTAGTCATGCTTCAGGGTCACATGTCACAGACTTGCTCCCCTCACACACCTTGCCTTTTATTTACTTACCACACAGCTGCTCATAAAACCTAAGGCAAGTCTACGTGTGTCAGAGGCAGTAAGTCTGAGGGAGGGGGAGGCCAGAGGTCAGGTAGGTCAGCTCCTTCCTTTATCTCTTTCCAGACCCCCTGCTCCTCATTCCTGAGCAGGCTTATCTTAAGTCTGTTCCTTGTGTTGCAAAACTATAGCCACAGCGACCTTGTTGAGAAACCAGACTCAGCATCTGGCATGGATCTTCAGGGAGGAAAGACATCAAGAAGCCTCAGCTGGACTCTTAGGAAGTGAAACAGCCTAATCATGGCCCTCAAAAAAAATAAAAAAAAATGTGCATACATGCCTGTGTTTACAAGTGTGTATGTGTGCCTGTGTGTATCTGTGTGTGCCTTTGCAATTGTCTGCGTGTATATGTCTACATGTATCTCTGAGTACATGCACATGTGAATATATGCACATGTATCTGCCTCTGATGTATATGAGCATGTGTGAGTGCATTTTGCTCATGAATATGCATATGAGTGTATGTATATGCACCTGACTTTATGTCGCTGAGTGTGTGTGTGTGTGTGTGTGTATATATATATATATATATATATTTGTGTCTCTGCACATAGACATATATAGATAAGTGTGCAAGATAGTGTTGATGCATATATGTAGGGGACCATGCATCTTTGGGTGAGCATGTGTCTGCAATTATCTGTGTGTATGTGTGCATGCATATATGTGTATGTCATAAATGTGGGAATGTGTATCCATGTATATATATATATATATATATATATATGGTAGTTATATTTTTGTTCACAAGTGTATGGATAAGTGTGTAACTGTGTGTGTATATTTGTTTGCAAATCAAATGTCAATCAAATGCATGCAATCTGTCTGTGTATGTATTTTTATTTACAGGACTGTAAGTGTCTGTGCATCTATGTATTTGTGTATGACTGCACATATGTGTTCATATATCTATGTGTTCATGTGTTAGTCAATGTACATGTGGCTAAATGTGTGTCTGTTGTCCCTGTGGGCATACATGTGGTAGAGGAGAAGGTAGAAAAAGAAAGCTGTACTGGGAATGCAAGAGGCGACATCAAGTGTTTCCCTGGTATTCTGGGTTGGTGTAATTCTGCTGTACATGTGGATAAAGCAATGGGATAACTCCTGCTCAGAACCTCCACAGACAGACTTGCTGTAACTGTATGTCATTGCGTGAATGAAATTCTTGCACATTCACAAAGTCAATAGTAAACAAATGACAAAGGCTTTAAACAAAGCTGTACAGGGTGTTCTTTGGGCTGTGGGAAACAGTTAAAGCAGCAGGCACACTCTAGGAAATTCAGGGTGTGGAAATCCCACCCTCTTTTTGTTTGATTTGCTACTGACCCTTTGGGTTTTTTACTTAACCACACATTCGTTTTACTTTAAATTGTAACAAGAATTGAAAGTAAAGCTAAGTGACATCAATAGTAGCCTGACCAGCTGAAATGAAAACCAAATTCTGACCACTACCGTTAAGAAATGCAACTAGGATCTCATGAATAGATTCTATTCATAGGACATGCTGTTAAGCTTTTGGTTTCTATTTATTATAGAGTCTAAAGAATTGATCTGTGTAGGTTTTGAAAAAGAGAAGAGGCATTGCTTTATACTCAGGAGAGGCCTAAAGAAGGTGAATATGCTTGGAAAGAAGGCAAGCAACTCAAGAACGTCATGTTTTCACCCCTGAATCCCAGGCATACAAAGCTGCCACTTTTCAGATTCAGATTGAGGAATCTGAAAGATGGACAAACAAAACAGAAAAGCCTCCACTCACTGAAGCAAAATCAGGGAGGAGGCTTCCTGAGAAGTCAGACTTCACTATCTGGTCTCGATGCCTGAGTGTACAAAACACACAGAAGTTTCTGGAAGGGTCTGTTCTGTTGCACTCCTACTTCTCATAGCTTCCTGGGCAATATTCTAAGCTTTTGTGAACTGATATGGTTGGAGATGCTATTTACTATAGCAGTACTAGGGTCAATCAATGTTTTATGTGCTTGAATGTTCAACGGCAGGTTCTCCTTTAGGGTGTAGTATCAATTTTTTTCCACCCTAGGATTTGGGGATGTAGACCCTCAAAGCTTCCATATTCCCAGATGAGACATCTCAATCCTTAGATTTACCTCTAACCCTGGGCTTGCAAAATTGGGAGTGAGGAAGTCAACAATATCAGGCAGAGGACCTGATTGTTTATCTCTTGGTGCCCAATGCCTAAAATAGGCTCAGACACAAAGGAAGCCTTCCTGGTAAATATTTAAAGTGGAAAGCCTATCAGTGAGTG